CTCGATTTGAGCTCCGAAAATTTAATTTTTCGCCGATCGACGAACCCCATCAATATGGATGTCGATCTTAGTTGTTTCCGGTTCCCCAGACGCATCGGCGCTGTCCGTTTCACAAACGGAGGTCAACCCGACGATTATGGATTTTCGGTCGACACGCGTCGGGTGAGTTTTTGCGCGATTTCGAGCTCTTTCGCTTTTGAAGCCCACCTTGCGCGGTCGACTCGATCCCGACACTAGTATTAGGGTCAACAGTCCTTTACATAGACATGCTTGATGAAAGAGGAAATAATAAATAACATGCGTCTTGTTCTTTTAGTTATTAGTACCTTTATCATCTTTTTACTTTTAACTGGTATCTTCTTTTATTTATTTTTTCTTTAAAATGCGGTACTGGTCATGATAGATATTCTGTAATTATTGTAGAACTACTGGTATCTTCTTTTATTTTTTTTTTCTTTAAAATGAGGTACTTGTCATGATAGATATTCTGTAATTATTGTAGAACTACAGTGAAGAATCTAGATGGTTAAAAAGGGAGGCTTTGATTATATTTTCATGCATATTATTATTTTTATGAATTTATTGAATATATAATCATTTTTTATTGATTCATATGTTGAAAACCTAACTTTTTTGTGCTACCAGTCTAACTAAACTATTTCCTTGTATGTTTGTTTATATAGATATAACGGTTTTGACAGGATTATCTCTGCTCTTGCACATTCCGTGCATGGTGCTCCCTCCTGCTTGGATCTTCCATATGTGAAGCTCCACGTCTGTATTTGCTCCACTTCCAATGACAATAGTTCATCTCTACTTGGGCATGTGCTCGCATGTGTTGCGCCTCTTGCACCTTTTGATTTGCATTCTAGCTCCATGTGTTAGCTTAACGCTTTGTCTCATGGATCTTTTTGGTGCTAATGCCTCATGCCATTTGTGTCCTGTTCTTCCTGCATTAGATTGGGGTATTTGGCCTTAGCTCCTCCGGTGACTTCGGCTGACCTCTTCCAGTTATTTGCTTTTCACTCTTACACTAGTCTTTTGCTCTTCCTCTCGTAGTCCTTCATCAAAATTTACCTATTTTCAAAGGTATGAAATTGTGAATACCTCAATGTATTTTCATGATTACTAATAAAATTAACATAATTCATTTTCAGTTATCAATACATTCACAAGACATTAGGACTCTACCAAAAATATTTATAATCATTGAAATTATCACTACTTTATATAACTTACCTTCTTGACGAGTTGCTTCTTCCAATCCTTTACTTCTTATTCTTCTTCTATTATAAGTCAACTCAAACCTCCCTTCTGCATATATTCCAATAATTCCTACATACAATTGGTAACAATTGATATACTTGCTTTAGAAATCATTATTGTCTTTTTAGAAAGTTAAACCATAACTAAGAATATACCAAAATACTTACCTTCCTTCTTTTCCTTCGATTCTCTATTATTCTTCCTTTAGTGAAATACTTCTTCCTCCAAACTAATCTTTTAATCTTTCTTCTCCAAGTTAATCTCTAAATTTTCCCTCACTGTTTCCACAATTAGTTTGCAACGTTCATCAATTTACAATTCATCATATAGTTCTATATTAATCACATTCAAATTTTTAATAATTGTTTTCAAATATCTTTTAATTCCTGCATCCAAATTCTCCTGCATTGCATAACTTGCTTCTCCCTACTCTTTCGGAATCCACTGCACTGTGCCAACTTCTATACAGTGGTCGAATGCTGCGAACTTCCCAGTCACTGTGCCAACTTCTGTACAGTGCCGAATTGATCTACAATGCCAGCAGGCACTGTGCCGCCCCCAGTAACAGGGATTCTGGATACCGAAACCTTTAGCAGTGCATTGTCCCAAACTTTCCTTCTGATGGCTTGTTTGCATGAATGGAAATTCCAGACAATTGCACTGTACATTGCTTCTGTTACTGTGCCGAATTCTCCATAGGCTCTGTTATGAATTCTGAATAAAGATAAGGATAAAGGAGTGGACCCCACAATGCCCTAACTGCTCTCTCAATAACCCAAAGGAAGCATCTATTCTGGAATTTCTAGATATCACAAGGATTAAGGTAATATCTCACAGCATGCAAATGACGATGGAGTTGAAGCTCTCATTTCTCATCAATGATTTCCCAAATCTCTTTATAGCTGAGCTCATCTCCTCCTTATTACGGGCTATTATATCTTTAGCCTTGTCCATTGCATTGTAAATGAAGTCCATAGCTAGCTTTTTTAGTGCATTAATCATCCTCAGAACTTGAACCAGCAGCCTTGTTATTATTATTGTATTTGTAATACTCACAATTTTTTTTTCATTCAAAATAATCTTCCACTTATTTTCCCACAGGTTTCTTTACCCAAACACAATTAACCATTATATGGAAGTGAACATAACCTCCAAATGTTGCCTTGCTTCCAACAAGCTTTGTAGAGTCACATTGGATGTTGCAAATCGAGTTATGGTTAGCCATAAGAGTCACTTCTTGATTATTTACTCATCAAGGCCAAAATCCATTAACAATTGTGGATGAATTAGCTTTTGGTTGCTTTGGTTAAGGCATTTTTGTTGGGAGGAAAGTCACCAAGTTTTTTTTTTAATCCCCAAATTTTTTTTTTTTTAAAAAAATATATATATATATATATATATATATAGTCTCACAAAATGTGTCTAATATAGATGTTTTCTCTCCTCCATTTTATTCTCATCTGTCCTATGCATTTGCATTATCTGTAGCAACATGTAACACCTAATGCTCTCTAATCTCCTCTATGATTACTTCAAGAAGTTCACCATTGTACTATGCATTCTTGACCCGATCAGATGATTCAATAGATTTTAAGAAAAATAGTGACATGGAGATTATTAATCAAAATATTAACCAATTTTTTATATTAGACTAGTCATTAGATATGATCATTATTCCAATTTAACTCCAAGTCATCCTAATATTCTCATGAGTTTTTTAGCATTGTTCAGCTCATCCTTCAATACCCAAGTTCTCAAATCATATATAAATGATAGTTTTAGTGCTCGACCTTAAGCCTATGAAATAAATTACATTAAAATAAGTGGAGGTTACCACATTAAATGGAATGACATTCTCATAAAAATATTTTCCAATATCCATTCAAACATTCTCATAAAAATATTTTCCAATATCCATACATCTTATGAGCTACTCTTTCTCCGTCATCCTCTGAATTTATCATATATTGATCCATGCGTCCTTTTGTATCTCTACTTGACATTGATAACAAAGATTATGAGAAAGCTTTGCCCCTATCCACTTTCATTTTAAAACATAACTTCTATAATCTATTATGTTATCAAGTTGTCAGTATCAAATGCTTTGACATTGTTTACTTATTCATATATGCTCTTATCTTCTCTTTCACCTCATTAGGCACTTTGGCACACCATGTAACATTGTCGTGTGAGCTAGAACTGCACTCCATCTTTGTATCACCTTTAACTTCCTTCTCATAATATTTGCACTTTAGATAAACATATATTTTGTCATTCCCTCTAATGTTAGCTTTTACGCTGTCTCCCTGTCGGTCATTTTGATGTGTCGTTGCGCTTTAATCCTTACTTCTTGTTGTTCTAAAGAAACCCTAACAAAATTTAATTTAAAAAAAAAGTTTAACAAGCAAATAATCACAAAAGAAGAAACCCTAAAAAAATTTTGGTTTAGGGGAAATGAATTCTAAGTTTGTTGGCAAGAAAACGTGCCCCTTAACCCTTGTTGAAGAATAAAGCTTGGCAAGGAGGAGCCAGTCGACTACTACGAAGGAAGCGATAAGCTGCAATGAGGATTGGGGGTTAGCTGGAACATGTGAGCCGAGAGAGAAGGTTGGGGATGTGCAGCTTGTGCTTTGCATGGAAGGTTGAGATCGAGAGATAGGGGCAAGATTAGATTAATAAGATTTTTTTTTAATACCTAACCCCTATGCCAATGCCTCACATAAGTAGTCTTGAGGCACACGCTGCAAGGTGAAAGTCCCAAAAAGCACTGATGCACGCCTCCGAATATGCAATTTTAAACAATGCTTTTAGTTAATATTTTGTTTGAAATATTGACTAATTAGGTTTAAGATAGAATTGGATTTGAATTTATGATCTTGTCATGGAAAAACTATTTCTATAAATAGGGCATCCATTGCTCTTATTGCATGTGTTCAAAATTATATATATATATATATATATATATATATATATATAATGTGCTCAAAATTATATCCTTCTCTTAACCTTTCTGCGTTCCTCTTCTATATATATATAATGTGCTCAAAATTATATCCTTCTCTTAACCTTTCTGCGTTCCTCTTCTTTTGAATTGTTCTTCTAATGCCCTACTTCTTTGTTCTTGATCCTCATCTACATCACTAAGCTAACATGGTTTTGAACATGTACCTGGTTTCACTGTAATGGCCTTCAAATGAATGGAGATTTTTTTCAACGTGAGAACAACCTTTGTACACTGAGAATATTCTTGATTTTGGGAACGTCTACCAATTACAGGTGTTGTTTGATTGAAAATATTAAAGGTGTGGATTAGGGTGCCGGGAGACGTATTTTTCAGACATTCCTGATTTTTATTATACATGAAAATGATTTTTTTTTTCTTGTGTGGTATCCATGGAAACCTTTCACTAGCCTAGTAAACTGAAAGATTGCATTTGCACTGTCTTGAAAGGAAATAATGCCCAAAACCCCTGAAAATTGTCTTTGAAGGTCAACAAAATAGAAAAATAATCCTGTATATCTTAACTTAAAAGTGATATTTTGATGATACCTTCTTAATCTTATTTTCTTTCTCGGTGCATTTTAAAAAAATTACCAAAATGTTACGTCAATGCTTGAAGCCTGATTAAAAATTTGTCAAATAATTCAAATTGCCCACCATCAACATCTTTTCATGTTCAGCTAGGTTTTAGACTCTTGAAAATGCCAGTCTAATATGTTTTAATTATCTGCAGATTCAAGCTGTTGTAAAAAAGTACGACATTCTCTTCATTGCTGACGAGGTAGACTTATATTGAACCTTGGAAGTCAGTATGATTTCATAGAAATTTATTATGAAATGATTGATTTTATATTGTAGGTTATTACTGCTTTTGGAAGGCTAGGGACCATGTTTGGGTGTGAGAAATATGATATTCAACCAGACCTTGTGTCCATGGCTAAAGTAAGTTAAAGAAAAAAGGCAATTCTATTAAACCGCCAATATCATCTAGATCTGCATTGATTTGAGCTAAACGGTTTCTATAGGCCCTTTCGTCTGCTTACATGCCCATTGGAGCAATCCTTGTCAGCCCAGAAATTTCGGAGGTTGTACATTCTCAGAGCAGCAAACTTGGTGAGTTAATATCTTCTCCAGTATTCTTTGTGATGCAAACTGACATTCTGGGCTGATTTATTCTTAGTCGATGCTTCTTTCATTGTTCTTTGTGTTTTAGAGTTATTTATTTAAGTTTTATATGATTATTATGATGCAAGACTACAATGCTTTAAATGAATGCGTTAAGAACTTGCACGATTTTGAAAAGAACAAGAACAATTATGACTATTAGCTAGTTAAAATGTAAGAGCGGTCACATCGTTTAGGCCAAGTTACATAATAAGCGCTTGAATTATCAAAACAATAGCGAAATTCAACAACATACAAATGAAGTAGTTTTCAAAAAAATCCCTAATCTAACAATAAGATAGTAACATAGAAAGTGCACTCAATCCTACGTTTACTAAGTTTAAGCAGAATGCGAAACACGGCTCCTTGAGACTTATCACCGCTAACAAGATTAGGGGATTAGGAAAGTAAATGAAAAGGGGAAGAAGTTCACCCTTGGGAAGGTTCGGCTATGATTTGCCACTGGGCGCCGGCAAGTTGCTCGTCGATGGCCTCTGATAACGTGAAAATAATGCGGTCCACGTACTCTTCGATGGAACTATCAACTTCCAGATTGAAATCGAAGAAGGTGGAGTGGAGGATATTAACGTATCCTTGCTCGTCGTAAGCAAATCCATAGTCAAGCTCCAAATCGGCCATTCATTGGCTTTAGAAGGATGATGTGTAGCTGAAGATCAATGTCAATCCTTTGAAGCTCCGTTAGAGAGAAAGAAGTTTCTCTCAAAATTGAAGTGGAGAGGTGGGGGTGGTCGGCCAATGGAGGTAGGGGAATTAAACTTGTTTCTGATTTTTGAGGAGGGAAGCATGTCAAACATATCCTTAATTAATCCTTGATTGAGAATAATTAAAGGAGAAAATAAGAGGGAGGGGGCGGAGGGAAGAGAGGGGGAAGGGGAGTTAATTTGTTTCCAAAGAAGAGGGAGGATCTTTGGAAAGAAATTAAATAGGTAGGGACATGGGGGATTTCAGCCAAGGAGGTGGGGAAGGAGTTTGAATTATTTCTAAGAGAGGGAGGTGGGCTTTAGGAAATAATTTCTAATTCAATCCTATAGGGGGACCGATGTAATTAATGGGCTAGGAGATGATTGTGGGGAGTGATTTGGGTTGCTAATTTGGGATTTAGAGATTAGGAAAGTTTTAATTAAATCCCAATTAATTTGAAATTCAAATAGGATTTAATTTATGATCTTTTCTAAAATAGATTCTCTAAATTAGGAAAGAATTTCAAATTCAAATAATTTTGAATTTTTAATTTAAACCTTTCTAAATTAAGAGTGGTTGCTTATGGAAAGTATTTAAGAGGGATTTGAATTTGTAGAGGGAAGATGGGAGAGGTGGGAGGGGCCGGCGGCTAGGTTGGAGGCTTATGGGGATTTTGGTGGAGGGGTGGTGGTGGTGTGGTGAAGCCGGCGGGTAGGTGGGGAGATTAGGTGGCCGGCGGCTAGGGATTGGGCGAGACCTTAGGCCAGCGACTAGATGTAGAAGAACCACGAACCCGGCCGTCTCCAAGCTTGGTGGGTGATCCAAATTCCCTCTCCAAGGGACATCGCTCCAATCTCTCTCAAGCCTCATGAGAACTTAAGCATGGGGAAATTTTTTATCATTCAATCATTAACATGAAAAGAGAACAAGAGGGATATATTTAGCCTCATACAAATGACTCAAGAAAATAAAAAGACGATGATGCCCTATGAGCTTACATACGACCTCCCTTAAGTAATTGGTAAAAGCAGAAACACTAATAAAACAAATACAACATAAAATAATAAAGAAAATACATAATATGACTCAGAAGTACATCGACTCAATCGTGGCCGTAGATCGACGGCCATGTCTTTGATAGACTTTCCAAGCTCCAATTATCCCCATTAGATTATCCCTACATAAAATAGATTGTGTTCTCTAATTCTTGTGTTGGTTCTATGACTTTCTTAATTTCTTGGTATGGTTTGGCTCCCTATGCTGGTTGTTAGGCTGATTCATTTCTATTGTCCGGATGTTTTGATTGGATGTTGGATTGTGCTTTATTCCTTGTTGGATACTCTTGTCCTTTAATTGAGGCTTGCGGTCTTAAAGAGTCGGGTGTTGTAGATGTTCCTTTATGTGGCTTTGTTATTCCTGTTACTGTAGATGGCAGGATCTGTATACAGTAATACATTTTGGTGCTGTGGTGCTATAGGAAGCCTGATATTTTTATGATTTTCCGTTAGCGGTTGTTACGAGATAAGGAACTTTAGTTTTTGCTAGTTTTCAGAAAATTGGGACTTGGAGTGTTGATCTTCATATACACTCCACTATAAAATCCAATTAAGTGCGACGAAATATGCGGACAATGGACACGGCGTTGCTCAAAACACATCACATATAAAAAATTATATGTAACAGTTAAAGTAAACTCCAATAGTTAAATGTGAGGATATTTTGGGTATTATGATGTATGTGAGATTATGCTATTTTTATAGATTTTTTGTTATTTATCATGTTAAAATAAATACAAAAATCATAATAAAAATTAACCAAATAATTTTTATATTTAATTTAATATGATAAATGACAAATCCAAAATGTCCTCATATGTAGCTATTGAGGTTAATTTTAATTATTACTTTTGGACTTCGGACCAAATTGAGATATTTTCTAATAGTCAGGAGACTAAATTTGGGGCATTATAGAAGTCTGTGAATAAATTGAGTATTTATTAATAGTTGGAGGACTATTTTGAGCTTTTATTCTTTTTTAATAATATTACTAGCTAAAGAATTAAAGTTCACATGAATGTATTTTCGGAAACATTTAAAGAGGAGAAACATTCATTAACCAACAATTTTTAGCAAAAAGCCCTCCAAAATATTTGGTGTACAAATTATCCCTTGGACCAAAAGGATCCCCTTTTTATCAGCATTGCTTTACCACAAAACTTCTAATCCTGCTAATTTTATTGATTACCCAATAAAATTTTCCTAATCCTGTTAAGGAAAATTTTATTGATGACCCAATTTAACAACTTAAAATGAAAAATAAAATGAAAAATAAGAGAGGAATAGAAGATAAATTAGAATTTGTTAAAACTATCCTTCTTTTGTAAGAAATGTAACCTTTTTTGTGAAATTTTCTTAACCGGAAACCAAATTTTCTTTTGAAATGCTTTAGAGCCAAGAGAAAGACCCAAATATTTTTAAGGAAGTCTTTCAATAGAACATGCTAAAAGATTAGCAATAGAAAGACCTTTCTTTATTTTGACTATTGCCAGGTTAAATTAAAAAGATTTAGAGAAGTTTATTTTATTACCAGAAACATCTTGAAATAGAATCATAATGCTCCTGGGAGCAGAGGAATTTTAAAAAGGAGCTTGTTTAATACGTCATAAAGCAAAAGAAGTGTGATTATTAAATAATTTAAAAAGGAGCAAAAAGTCAAATAATTTGGTGTTTTTTTATAGAAAATGCAAAATAATTAAGAAAATGTCAAATTATTTGACGATCTCTAATTAATTAAGAAAACGCCAAATGATTTTAAGTTTTCTTAAGAAAGCATAAAAACAATTACGTGACTTAACAAATAAATAACGTTTTATATTTTATTAGCATGTGGCATCCATTCATTTTGTAAGTGTCCAATTTTTTATTTGAGATGCTCAAGCTCGCATCCTAGGAGAGTAACTCAGTTTGAAAATATAAATATTTAAATTAAAAAATACTTATTTTTAATATTAATGAAATTGAAAATTATATAAAAAAAATATTAATTATCCAAGTATTTAGTATTTCTACTAAATTTTTATATTCGTGATTAAAAAAAGAGTGAATACTTCACAAGTTTCAAACCTGGATTGTTTTTTTTTTGGAATCGCTTACCTTCCACCATATCAAGTGCAAGAAGAACCTGTTTGATTTTTAAATGATTTTATAATTATTAGTAACTTATTATAATTTTTTATCTCTCCTTAAGAAAACGTCAATTGATTTGGTGTTTTCTTAATTAATTAGCATTTTCTATGGAATACGTCAAATTATTTTGAGTTTTCTTAATTATTTAGCATTTCCTATAGAAAATGCAAAATAATTTGACTTTTTGTTCATTTTTAAATTATTTAATCATCACGCTTCTTTTATTTAATTACGCATTAAATATGCTCCTTTTTAAAATTCCTCTCCTAGGAGCCAAAATATTGTAACGGACAATTCCACAAAAATAGAATAACAGTTTAGTCCCCAAATTGAATGCTATTTATGACGATTTTGATATTATTATATTTGCTACCTTCAATCCAAATATCTTTTGCAGCTGCATTGAGTATTCCACGAGGAACATGACCAATAATAATGAAAGGAAGATGAGACAGAGGATCAACTTGCCTCAAAACTTGAAATGTTTGAACTATTTGTTTGGTTTCCCATCATCAAGTATTTGAGAGCCAGCATTCGCCGAGGGCCTGGAACTGTAATTTTTGCGAGATTTCAACAATTTGGGTCTTCCACTTGGGAAAATTTGAGGACTACAAATATAGGCAGATATGAAGAGCGAAAATAACAGTTGATTAGTGATTACTTAATAACTTTCTTATTTTTCTCACAAACTCGTGTATAGTAGTTGGATCCAATATTTTAGCGTACTGCAAGTATTGATTGATATTTCTTGTTGGAAGAATTCTTCTTGTTCTACTGTGAAGTCTGAATCTTTTATTTGTGATTTCTTGTCCTTTCTTTGTCTCTCTCTTTCTCTCTCTCCCTTTAGATATTGTGATTGATTTGCTAGCTTGGTCATATCTCCTACAATATGGATGTTTTTATTGCGTTGTGTCTGGATTGAAGTTTGGTTTATAACTTTAAATGAATTTAAATTTCTTGCAAAAATGTCTGCTTGGACTATCATAAAACTATTATTTTAGGACGAGTGTCATGCATTTCTTGATTTTGATGGACCGGACTGGCCGGTCCAGCCCACAGCAACACCGGCCCAAAAAGGGCCGGTTCTCGCGTACTGCAGGCGGAGAACCCGCCTGCCTGGGCGGTCGGCCGAAAGGGAGAGAGGAGGCGGGTGGGCCCAAGGGGCCCACCAAATTGAAGAGGGAGGATGATGTGTTTGCCCTAGGGGTAATTAGGGGTTTATGGGGGGTTTTTGTGGGAGTTAAAAGGGAGTTAGGGTTTGTTTTGGAGGCATGTTGTTTTGGTGGCTGTTTTCAGTTTCTTCTAATCTAGGGCTTGGGAGAAAGCTTCTCTTCTCGAATTGAGAGCATTGTATCCGTGGAAACTTGTAAGTCTTTTGATATTTAAGTAACCGAAGTGTTTGTGAGTGTTTTCATCCAAGAAATCCTCCATTTTTCCACTGTTTTTGGGCTGTTTTTCCTGGATTCCGAATTTTGCAACTCAAGTTACATCAGATTTTCATCAAAACAAGAATTTTTTCCTGAATTAAAAGGTTCGTTGATTGCAAATTTAATTTTATGCAACTTATCCTATATATGTATTAAAAAACCCTAGACCCTAAGATATCTTTCACGAGTCTAATTAATTTTTTTGTTTGCTTGGATACAACTGATTTATGTGTAAATCTCAGGTTCATTTTCGCATGGTTTCACTTATTCCGGGCATCCAGTATCATGTGCTGTTGCAATTGAAGCTCTCAAGATTTACAGGTGCACGGGTTTGGAAATATGTTGGTTCATATATTCTAGCAATGATTGTTCCTTATTCGTGCATCTTGGTAATATCTTAATAACTCTTATGATTTCCTAATATATCCGTTGTTTCAGGGAAAGAAATATTGCTGAACACGTGCAAGCTATATCCCCAAAGTTTCAGGAAGGCATCAAAGCTTTCTCAGATAGCCCCATTATCGGGGAGGTACTTCACTTTTATTGATCTACCGTTCTGTTGCATTCTACCATCTATGGGCATTTTTTCTACTAGGCATCGGCTTTTTTTTTTTGAAAGTAGGTATCGGATTACTCAAGGTGACATAAGTGCTAATGGTAAGATGATTTTTTTAACAAAATTTGTAACAATAGATTGATAAAAGACTATATTGACGGATGATTAGAGTATTATCTATTGACGAAAATATATTTAAAAATAGAAATATGTTCAAGGCCTATATATCAAAAGATAGAAGATTTATTAATAAGACGAGTAGATTAAATCAATACTGAAGGATTTAGAAGAAAAAAGTAAACCAATAGTAACATTGATAGAATTTCTTGAGAAAGATTTATGCACACTAGGTTTAATACTTGATACCAGACTTAGCTGGAATAATTAGAAAATGAGGCCTCATAAAGTTGGATCCAAATAGTTGAGATAAGGTTAATGATGAAGCTGGTGACTTTTAGGAGTTTAAACACTAAGATGCAAATACTGAACTAATAAATCTAAGATTTGAAGTTTCCCTTGCGCCAGCTTTCTTGGAAGCTGGTGGGTTCAACTTTCTTCTACCTAATATACAAAATATTATTGTTTCAGATAAGAGGCACAGGCTTGATTCTTGGGACTGAATTTACGGACAATAAATCTCCAAATGATGCTTTCCCCTCTGAATGGGGTAAGTACTAAAAAGAAGAGAGAACTAACCTTCATACTTTGTGCTTTATATGCTCATCATGATTTCTTCTAGGCGTTGGATCCATATTTGGAGCCGAATGTCAGAAGCGTGGATTGCTAATCCGCGTTGCTGGAGATAGCATTATGATGTCACCTCCACTTATCTTTACTGAGAAAGAAGTTGATGAGGTATTCTCGAACATTTTTGAGTTTAACGAAGGCATCCAAGGCATTCATTATTTGAAACTTTTTTTTTAATGTTAATTTGTCCTTGCAGAACGGGTTAAGGGGTTTTTTTTATTGCCACTTTGGTGCCTGTAAGAAATAAATTATCTGATAATATTAACTGTCACTAACTACTGATGCTTTAGTATTTACTTTTTTTTCAGTTGATAGGCCTTTATGGTGAAGCCTTGAAAAGTACAGAGAAGAGGGTGTTGGAGTTGAAATCCCAAGCAAAGTAAGTATGAGTTGCAAGCATTCTGGAGCTCATTAACTCAAACATGATTTATCTTCTAATTAAGAAGAATTGCATGCATTGTTGAACCGCAACAGTTAATCCATAATTTTTCTTGTTCTGCTTATGAAATACATGCATTTAACAATCAAATTGTTTGTTTTTTAATTTAAATTTTTTTTATGTAATATTAATTGTCTTTAATGTTTTCAGAGTTGGTCCTTCACTATCACATTTATCGTAGCTTTTTCTTCCCACTAATGTTTTATGAAGTATATCATAATAGAATGTTGGAAGAGCATACAATCTATCCTAGACCAAACGTAATGCAGGAGACTGTCTAATTTGGAGTCTGAAGGGCTTGGTATTTTACTATATACATTGAGAGGTGTCATTTTGGATTTATAGGTGGGGGTTCAAATTTGATTAAAAGATGACCCAATATGAATATAATCTATCTAAATCTGACCTGTTTAGTAAATCGATAAAAAAATTCAATTAAAAAAATAATAATAAAATTCAATTGACTTGAACTAACCTGAACTCATTTAGACATGGTATGAAATATATTTGTGTTGACTTAAGGTTAATTGAACTTGAAATAGATATGATAACTTGATTTGTGTATGACAATTAAAAATAATAATAATAATAATAATTTCATGAGTTTGAATAAAAAATAAATATTAAAGTTATTATTTTCTGATTAACTTGAATTGGACCCATCAGCAACTATGCCTAACGATTTTTTCTTCGTTTTTTTTTAGTCGCCTCAACCTGAATTCAATCTGAATATTAAATAAGTTGATCCAAATCTAATTTTTTTTGTATTTAGTTAGAGTCTACTTTTTGTCTTCAGTTTCATTTATTATAATGAGTAATTACAAGTAATGGGGAGCCAAAGCAATTCTAAAGATATGCCAATACATGAGCTGTAACAAAAAGACAATGCTCAAAGAAAAGAGCAATAGAAGACAGGGAACACAAATAACTAGCAAAACTAAAACGATATGCAAATCATGTCCAAAAAACAAAAACCTAAACTAAAAAGATGGCTCAGAATGAACCAAAATACATCTAGTGAAGAGAATCAGTCAATGAAATGCAATTCCCATGCTGCAAGAGCGACCATCCAAGGGGAAGTACCCTTGGTTGCCATACCACAATCCAAAAGGGACGACTGGTTATAGACTCACATTCATCACAACCCTGAAAAGAGCCCAGTTGCATTCCAGAAAATAGCCGAAAATGTCTAGAAGAAGAGCAATGTCGTGAACAAATATTGAATTAGGATCCAGTGTGTTAGTAGCAGTAGGAGAGAACCCCAGAAGAACAACTTCCTAATGCAACAAATTTAGGAACTCCAAATTCTTCCACTTAGAAATTTTCATACAGTGAGCTTTCTTTATCTTATGAAGCATGGTAATGTGGCTGTCAATATTAAGACTAAATCTTCTCACATTCCTTTCTCTTCAAAGATAATAAACAGGACAACTCACAGCCATATGGTAAAAGTTTTTCAATGCCATAGAAACATATTGCGAGTTTGAAATGTATTCGAAATTTGCAGCAGGGTTGGCCTCAAGAGGAAGCCATTCATCTAAGTGAACAACAAGATATGATAGTAAAAGAGAAATCACATTTGAAAAGCAAGCGAGCAGTTTTTAGGCATCGTATAGCAAAGACTACATAAACTATCTACTTGAATGTTCCTCCTGATAAGTCATCAGTTTTCAATTCACTAACAACTACCAACCAAGTATAGCAAGAGAATCTTAAAGAGTATTTTTAATGTCAAATGGATTTCAACTGAATAACCTGCTAGCTTATAATAGTTGTTAATATAGGAGGAGAAAGTAGGGCGTTCCTGTCCACACCATTTGAAGCAACCATGGGCCATTAGGGGGATAGGGATGGAAGAGATAGCATCACATATGTGAGGGGGTAGTTGAGGGCAAGGTTTAAAATTGCGTAAATAAGTCTCGAAGTATTTTTCGTCCGTGAGGCGAGGTGTAAGCCTCACGGACGAAGAATTGCGTAAATGAGAATTTAAGGGTTTTAGCAGGTAAATAATAGTAAGATTCAATCATACAATAAAAACATCTAAATGACAAGTGAAATTAGTGGAAAGTAAAAAAATAGATGCAATAAAATCATGTATAACAACAAAATATAAGTTTATATGTGCTTGTCCTCTATCCTCTCCTGGATTAGTCATATACTGATCTATAGGACCTCGTGCACTTCTATCATGTATAATGGAGGAAGAGCCCTTTCCACCCGCTCCCGAAGTAAGCACTATATTAGACCCTTTCATCAAATTGCTCATGTTGTAAATATTTGTCCGTGGTACTCTTTTTCATATAAGCTGTAATTTCCTCTTTCACCTTATCCGAAATATTCGCACAAAGTGCTACATTCTTATGTGAGCCGGATAAGTGCTCCTTCATGCGAGTTACTCCTCCCTTCACCACCTTATCACAAAAATTATATTTTAAATACACATATATCTTCTCGCCGCCTCCGACATCAACTTGCACACTGTATTTCCAAGAAGGGTCACGCCGCAATGATGTATTTGTCTTTTTCTTTCCCCTAACCATGTTTCCTAAAGCACAAATGCAAAATAAAACACAAAAATATAAAATAATAAGCATAAATATGAAATAATATTGTCCAAGAGACAAGAATTCACATTTAAAGTCTTCACCCCTTCCTCCTCTCCTATAGAGTCCAATTTCTCCCAATCAAAGCATGCACTCATGAAGAAGCAGACTAACACTAACAACTATTACTAAAGATGATGAATACAACAATATGCCTGGCTGCCGAGAGTCTAAGGGGGCGCTGCCCCTGGCGGGGTTCAACCTGCTTATTTTTAAAGTTCATAAGTCCTTTGTATGGAAAGATGTCTAGCGGTACCGAGTATGTACCTAGCGATACCGATAACTATGACTCTAGCTTTCCTATAAATTGAAAAATCAAACCCTAAACTTATAAAAAAACCCTAAGAACACTTGAAGAAGTGATGTTGAGGGGCGACCGGAAACAAAGGACTCACCGGCCAGAGGCGGCGCCGACGGGAGAGGCGGCGGAAATGTGCGGGAGAGCCGGATCAATCGTCTGCGTGCTTCCTACGCGGCTTCGGTTGACGTCTTCGGTCGGGTAAGTGGGTCTTCGGTCGGGTAAGTGGGTATAAGGAAGAGTTTAAGAGGTTTTTTAAGTAAGCGGGCCCCCATTTAGAAGCGTACGCCTCAAAGTAAATTGCGCAATAACGCTAGTGGGGCTCGCCTCACTCCACATGAGGCGTACGCCTCATGATGCCTGAGAATTACCTAGGCTTTGAGGCTATTTTGGAGCAAATTGCACAAATGCGCGCCCCAGATTGCGCAATTTTAAACTATGGTTGAGGGGTAAGGTTCCTGGAGTTGTTTAGAATAATGGAGTTAACAGTGGCGTTAGGCAGGAAGAGATGTGCAAATTAGCCTGATCAGTAAGATTCATGAGGAAAGCTCCATTATACCAGTGATCCCAAAGAAGTGAAAGAGTGCTTGAAGGGGATATACAAAAGGAGAAATTCTCCTTCACCTTATTAGCAACACCAGCAAGGGATTTATAGAAGGCAGAGGCCTTAGTGATAGGGATCCCAGGGAGAGCAGTATTTGGATTTACAACAGCAAGCAAGAAGGCTATTAGCAGTGAGCAGTCGTGCAAAGAGAGAGCGAGTATAGGCATTGTAAAGGGATTGAATGCCAGAAATGCCCAACCCTCAATTTTTTTGGGAGGCAGGTTTTTTTTCATGACAACAACAACAATAACATCAAGCCTTTGTCCCATTACGTGGGGTCGGCGTCATGAATCCTTTTTCTTTATTGTGTCTTGTTAAAAGTCAAATTCTCATTTAAATCTAATAAAGAAAGATCATTTCTAATATTTTTTAACCAAGTCTTTTTAGGTGAATCTTTACCTTTCTTAACATAAGTCAAATTTAATACCTCAACTTTTCTAACCGGATCATCAGAAGGCCTAAAAAGAAAATTTGTATAGCTTTTATTAATAAACATATAGCAGGTCTTATGTATGATGGGTCCTTTGATCTAGTAAACAATCGTATACCAAAATTTGAATATGATATACAAAAGATAGTAATTTGGCCTTCCAGCAATTTTGTGATTTTTTACATGAGGGGTTGAAAATTAGAGAAATAATATTTTTATGGATATCAAAATAGTAAGATAGGTCATTTTGTTTCCAAGAAGTAATATATAGGACATTACAAATGTTAGAGGCATAAGGTGTATTGGGGGAGAAAGTGATAAAGCTTTTATCATTATTGACATAGAGGCCATATAGAGAGCCAAATGGAGTCAAAATATTGGAAAGATAAGCAGCAGTCAGTCTGAATATTTGCCTCACCAAAAACTAGAACATGGGATTTGACTAGTTGGTTTCCTTCCTTTTGGTAGATTTGACTCTAATTGATTTGGGAACTTGGGTATTAGGTGGGTTAGGCATAGTGGGATCATGCTTGAGAGACTCACTTTCAGAATGAAGAATGTTGAATTTGTTTTGTGTGGAGAGGTTTAGGTGGTCAGATGGTTATATGAGGGACCAGTTAGGGGGGGTTGGTGGAGAAACGATTTCAACTGTGGATGGAACAATAGAGGGGGTCGAGTTGGTAGAAGGTGAAGAAGCTTTAATGGAGTTATTAAGGGGTGAAGGTCTCATGGAAGCTTGCTGGAAGGGGATTTTTGGCTAGAGCTTCTGCCCATGGTTTCAATCTTAGCCTCTTTGGAGACGGAGGGGTTGGGACAGAGAGATGAAGGGTGGACAAGAGAGCTTCATGTTTGGCAAGGCACTGGTTTCCAATCAAAATGGACCTAAAGTAACATATTTTTCCCTGAAATGGAGATAGGGGTCTCATCTAGCAAAGAAGACTAGTTGCTCACCTAGACACAAAGTCTGGCAAAGATGAGCCGGGTTTTTTCCTCCGTGAGGGAATCAACATTGAGTCGGCAACCAATGAAACTAGTATTTTACTTTTTTTTTGAGACGAGGAAACATTGTTCATAGGCCAGTTAAAATCTCGGTTGATCTAGCGGGCAACCCACACCAATTTACCCGAACCAACAATTATACTAGTAAATTTTTATTTCCTTTATGGAGTCCAGCACAGAAGCGGCAATCATGAATTTTGATCCATATGGGGTGGATGAAAATTCCTGACGCTTTGGGCTAAAATGAGGATATCATTTATGATGGATGAACGGTTTCCAAGGATAATTCATGTCCCCTGGGTCCAGGACAAATCAGGCACTAAGTAAAGAAAAGAAGTTAATGGTACTTTTTGGGTCCAAGTTTTGCGGATATCAGAAAGAAGGTCTTCATAGTTTTTTGTAGTAAGCTCGTGATATCTATATAAAAAATTCTATTGATCACTAGCGAACTCCCAAGTTATCACACCATTCAAATGAAGCTATGGCGTATGTTAACAAAAACTATTAAGCATAACGTTGATAATTAAATCCATTTCACAAGCTTTAAGCAATTTGTAACGGGTAATATATTGGATATTATGATCATTAGCAGTATGAAATGTGTTATACTCACATAATAAATTTTAATGATTTGAAATACATCATGATTAAAAGTTTTGATGTTCTGAGCTTTTTTTAAAAAAATTATTATTCGGTCTCTATTTATTTCTAGGGGTTGTGTACATATTGTAATTTTTTTTATTTTTATTTAAAAAATTATTGATGCGCCGTTGTCAGGTTCTATGTCCTAGATGAAAAAAGTAGAGGGTTACGTTAGATAGTCTGCAACCAACGAAAAATTTGCCGAATAATCATGATATATATATTCTTAAATAGGTGTAAATCGACCCCAAGAAGCGCGATAAAGGTCTGTTGTTTTTTTTGTTGTTAAATAGGTAAACACAATTAAAAATTAACAATTTAATGTATCATGTATGGATTTCTTTATTCATTTCCAAGGGGTTTGTTCATGTTGTAAATATTTGTATTTTTATTTGAAAAATTAAGTGCTGAAGTACGCATATAATAAAAAATGTTTATAAATTTGTTTACATAATAATAACTATTTTTATCAACCTCGTGCTGCTATTTTACATATTGTTCACTATTCACTTCGGTCTCTAATTTTTTATGAATATCTTGCATAGTATACTTGATGCGCTTGTGCTATTAATATTGAACATTTCATGACCTCTCAGGCGAGATCTCCATTTAGCTTGATTTAATCCATGCTAAACAACTCTTATAGAAGTATTGTACTAGCCATTCTTAAGTAATACCACATTATACCTTTTACTCAACAAATTCTAGTATCATACCATTGAAGTCAACTTCCAAGGTCATTATGTTTAGTTCCCTTTTACCCAAACTCCACTATGACAATAAGTTGATGTCAACGTCACTAATAGATAATGGTGGTCAGAAGACGGTTGTCAAGTGACAGCGGTGAGACGATGACAATTGGGTCATATTAATTAGGCTATGGAGGTCGGGTAACATTAGCTTGGCTATGATAATTGAGTGATGATGGTCAATGAATAACAGTTGTGAGAAGACAATGGGCCGATGATGGTCGAGCAATGTTGTTCGGTGATGGCAGTTATTGGTGGTGATCGTTGGCATTGATTGTCAACCAAGTATATATATAATTTATGATTCTATTCATATGAAGAATTACTGTCAATTTTTACTTTTTTTGAGTTTCATTTATGTAATTATAGCCAAAATTCTAAAATACTCCATTTGATGGCTTATGTTGATTCTCTTTATCATAAACAATGCTATAGGTATTTAAATTTCTTGATGACATGATAATTGAGTAATTTTTTAGACTCATTCTATTTCCTTAGCAAGATGCTCATTTTACCAATAACCATGCAAGAATTGGAGATTGTTTAATCGCTTAAATAGCATTATGATGTTCCCAAATGCACTTCAAGTGTTTGATTTGGGCTCATTTGAAATCGAATCAAAATATTTTTTATGCCTTTGTTTTTGCCTCATTGAAATTTCAGTTTCCTATAAATTTGCTAAAATTAAATTGAGATGATTCTAAACTTAATTTATGAAGCTTTAATTCAAAGATTACATCAAGATTCATGTTTGACAAAATTTTACATGATGCAGCAAAAATAACATTTAATTTTATAGTTTTTTATCAACTATTATTTTATTTTATTCATTTTCCTTTCACTTTTAGCTTAAAAACACCTTAGGAATCTCATACTTAACTACAAAATAAACTTAAAAATCAAAAGTTCCAAACAATCAATATTAATCATAAAAAAATCAAACTCTTATTCCCCAATGATTTGCACCGACCAACTCCTTACATCCTCACTATGACCATCATTGCCATCATTATATCCTGTCTTCTTTCGAAATATAAACATCACTGGCACTTGGTTGAGAAGCCAAAGAAAGTCAAGCACCATCCCATCAATGAATAGCTGAACGTTCCCTACAAATTTCCCCATTATCTCCTCCTCGTACATCGTCACTGCATCCATGAACAACCTGATCATCCTTGTTCCTCCCTCCTGTTCAATACTTATCACAACTCTATGTGCGTCACCATTTGGCTTAAAACGGATTGGCCCAGCGGAGTACGAGTCATTGCTCTTTGTGGCCTCAATCACCTGATGTCTCGACCACTCCGGCAGATCCGAATACGATTCCAAATCTGATTCGGTAGACAGATCGACTGGAGGCTCCATTGCTGGTTCTGAAGGAGACTCTAAAGAATAATCCAAAGTTGCAAAACGCGATGATCTTGCACTGGCGCTTGAGTTTCCGCAACAAAATTTGGCAAATTTCTTCATTGTGGCTTAAAGAGAGTAAACTTTTTATATTTACTTAGCTTCTTCTCATACATGTTAGATATCAATATATAGATTGTAAATTGCTTAAGAAGCATTTATTTAAATTTAAGGTTTAATTGAAGCATATATAGTGTATTAAAAGAAGAAAAATATGCAAATCATTTAATGGTCTGAATCTCCTCTTCTTGGTTCCTAACAAAGGAAACTCATTGATGCTGAAGAGGAACTTAGGAACAAAAGGATTTATAAATGGGAAAGAACAGAGAATGGAAATAGAATTGGCTTTGATAAAAGATAATAAAGAAGATATCTTTCCAAAAAGACTGAAGTTCAGAAATCCTACCAATGCACTGAATTATTCTATCTCACCAAAAACATTCCTGTTGAAGCCCCTCTTGACTTCCATAATAGCCTCAAGAGGAAATGGATGAAGATGGAAAAGAAATACTTCTATATAAAACTATAAGCCCCCCCTTAAATATATTGATAAATTTATTTAAATTTTCAATTACATTTAACCAATTAACAATAATAACATCTAGCATTTATTTTACTGCGTGGGATTAACTACATGAATCATTTTTCTCTATTGTATCTTATAATTAAGAGTGAAATTCTCGTTTAAATCTAATAAAAAAAACACTATCATTGTCAACTCTCAAACTTTATATGAAAAAAAATAGATGATTGTATTAGATAATTTATAGTGAGTGTGAAACTAGTTGAATAATCATGATATTTAACTAAACAATAAAATCTACAAAATTAATAACTTATTTATACAAATTGTGCAAATATATACTTAAAATAATAAAATATTGAATTAACTCTCCACAAATAATAAAATTTGATGTTATTATTTTTTAAAATCGTAGCTTCTTCATTTGCAGATATAGCCTTGTCATTGGAAAAATTGATGTAAAATAGAGACATACATATATATATATATGTATATATATATATATATATATATATACATAGCGCTCCGTTCAGATTTCCGATAGCTCTGTTGCACTCGCTGTAACTCCTTCGCGTGGCTCCTCCAGACCTCCATTTCGGTCGCAGAGAGGTGGTGGCCGATTCGGCACTTCTCGTGGTGGTCGAACGTCTGGTCCACGTATTGAATGTCAAATTTGTGGCAAACCTGGGCATTCTGCAGAAAAATGCTGGCATCGCACTAACCTCAGATATGTTAAACAAACTCCTACAGCATTAGTTGCGGACTCAACTGAGAATTATATTTCTGCATTTCCTGGGCAGTCATCGGATTGGGTCTTGGATACCGGAGCAACTTCACACATCACTAATGATCCCAATCAACTTCTCACAGCTCATCCATATCAGGGTACTCAACAAATCCAGGTCGGAAATGGTCAGTCACTTCCGATAGCTCATACGGGTCAAGGAATACTTCCCACCCCCAACCGTAAGTTATCTTTATCACCACTCTTACACGTTCCTCAAGTCTCCCATAATTTACTTTCTGTCCATCGTTTAACCTCTGATAATAACTGCCTTGTTTCCTTCACACCTCATGGTTATTGCATAAAGGACGGGAAAACCAACCGCTCGATCCTCTCGGGTTTATGCCGTGACGGACTTTAGTCCATTCCAAATCATTCCAGTTCGTCTCCTCAAGCTTACATTGCCACCGCCAGCTCTTCTACGTGGCATTCAAGATTGGGACATCCTCATCCTGCTGTGTTATCTCGTATAGCATCTAGTTTTCCTTCTTTAAAGATATATGTTACTAGCAATGTCTGTCATTCGTGTCAAACTGCTAAGTGTCATAGGTTACCTTTTCTTAGTTCAAATTCTCAATGTACTTCTCCATTTCAAGTTGTCGTCTCTGATGTATGGGGGCCTTCCCCAATTTTCTCTCTTAATGGATATCGCTATTATGTGTTATTTGTGGATGAATTTTTCCGTTTTTCTTGGCTGTATCCGATGGTGACAAAAGCTGAAGTTTTCTCAAAATTTTACTTATTTAAAGCCATGGTGGAAAAACAGTTTTCTACTCACATTAAAATTTTTCGCTCAGATGGGGGAGGCGAATATACTAGCACTCAATTTCAACATTTTCTCTCTACGAATGGCATTTTACATCAATTTAGTTGCCCTCATACTCCCCAACAAAATGGTTTGGCTGAGCGAAAACATCGCCACATCATTGAGACTGCTCCTACACTGTTATTACAAGCTAAATTACCCACCTCTTTCTAGGTTGAATCGGTCCTAACGGCAGTCTATTTAATTAATCGTCTTCCCTCTCCGAGTACAAAATACATCTCTCCTTTTCAATGTCTGTATAAAAGTCCTCCATCCTATTCCCACCTCAAAATTTTCGGTTGCTTATGTTATCCTTGGTTGCAACCGGCTGCTCCCAATAAATTTGCTCCCAAATCTTCAGCTTGTGTTTTCATTGGATATAGTTCTACTCATAAAGGTTTTAGATGTTACAATTTGCAAACTTCTAAAATTCTAATCTCTCGTCATGTCCAATTTCATGAAAATATATTTCCCTTCCACAACAATTTCTCTTCCAATTCCGCTCTGCCATCCTCCTCATCTACTCCCATAATTTCACCTTTAACACTTGTTCCTCACACAAATATTACTCCACCTACTACTCCCCATACTATACCAGACACACCTGCACCTCAATTTCATGACCAACATACCTCTCCGACGCCTCAACACAGTCCAATTTCTACTTCCCCCACTCCCTTACCTATTCCTACCCGGCATCCAATGGTGACTAGACTGCAGACTGGTAAGTTGAAACCCAAACCTGTTTTTAATCTCCAGCATTCTCTGGTTGATGAACCCGATCCTATGGCAAGTAAACACAAATGCTGGAGAGATGCTATGTCCGCCGAATTTCAAGCATTACAACAACAGGGAACTTGGGAATTGGTTAAGCCACCGTCTTCTCAAACCATTCTTGGTTGTAAGTGGATTTACAAAACAAAGAGGGCTTCGGATGGCACTATAGCACGCTACAAGGCTCGTCTTGTTGCTCAAGGCTATCGCCAAGAGTATGGGATTGATTATACAGAAATTTTTAGTCCTGTTGCAAAGTTACCTACAATTCGTCTTTTTATTACAACGGCGGTCATCCGGCAATGGTCCATTTTACAATTAGATGTTTCAAATGCTTTTCTTCATGGTGATTTAAATGAAGAAGTTTATATGCATCAACCACCGGGCTTTAGAGACCCTCAATATCCTGATTTTGTTTGTCGCTTACATAAAGCAATCTATGGTCTAAAGCAGTCTCCGCGACAATGGTTTGCAAAATTAACTACTCATCTGCAGTCTTTGGGCTTTCGGCACAGTGATGCTGATCCTTCTCTCCTAGTTTATGATCACAATTCTCATCTCATATATTTTCTAATATATATGTTGATGACATTTTAGTCACCGGCACCAATTCTCAACTCATTGCGGATCTTCTACTTAGTCTCCAACAGCAATTTCAAATTCGTAATTTGGGTCCTCTCACGTATTTTCTCGGTATCCAGGCGGCTGCTACATCTACAGGATATCATCTCCACCAAACCAAATATGCCTTGGATATTTTAAATCGGGCAGGTATGGCAAACTGCAACCCGGTTCTTACTCCTTTTCCTTCTAAACTGAGTTTGGACGACAAGGCTATGACAGTTTTTGAAAATCCCGAATTCTACCGGCATCTTGTTGGATCCTTACAGTATTTAACTATTACTAGACCGGATCTTGCTTATGCAGTAAACAAGTTATGTCAATTTATGCACTCTCCTCTATACCAACATTTTCATGCTCTTAAACACCTTCTTCGGTATATTAAGGGTACAGTTGATCTTGGTTTACCAATTACCGGTCACTCCTCTACTTTACATGCATATGTTGATTCCGATTGGGCCGGTGACCCATCCGACAGAAAATCTACTACTGGTTACTGTTTATTCATTGGGGACACTCTTCTATCATGGTGTGTCAAGAAGCAACCTACGGTGGCTAAGTCTTCAACCGAAGCTGAATACCGTGCTCTTTCCATGGCTGCAACGGACATTATTTGGATTCGTAGGCTTATGGCTGATTTTCGGTTCAATCTCTCTACTCCAGCATCTCTTTATTGTGACAATGTCTCGGCAATTGCACTTGCTCACAATCCTGTTTTTCATGCTCGTACGAAGCATATAGAAGTGGACTATCACTTCATTCGAGATTGTATAAAATCAGCCACTCTTACCTTACTCCATATAAATTCCCATGATCAACTTGCTGATATCTTTACCAAAGCTCTTCCTCATCTTCGTTTTGCCGACCTTAGATCCAAGCTTCAGGTGACACCTACACCATCAGCTTGAGGGGAGCTGTTAACCTAGTCCGGCAATACATCACACCGTTAAGAGGATGCTTCCACTACTGGCTGCAGAGGATATTCCACTTGGCTTAAGCAAGTGGCGCAGCACACAAATGATTACACTTTGTTTTAATATAAGGGTGTACTGTAGCAAAGAAATGAGTGTGGCTTTTCACCCAAAACTCTTCTTCTCCTTCTTCTTCTTTTCTCTGTGTTTTGGTTTTCTCTGCTAACATTTCGTGCAATCCCAACTAATATTTCATAAGGCAATCCCAACTAATCATAACATAATGAATACCTAATTATACATATGATCAATGATTATATGCATGATCATATAAAGAGAGTAAGATACCTCAAAATATATCAAGGTACTCAAACAACGGTATCACATAATTCACATATGCAAGCTAATATAACTCATGATCTTTTGGTTGATAGTTAAAGCTCTCAACCAATAGATTAAGATGAGCTACCTATTTTAATCTCCTTCAATCGATAACCGTTGATCTTTATAGTTTTCGTGCCATTTTTAATGGCTATAAGATGTCCAACTTAAGATCTGTTTGGGACGGCCGTAGTATTTTACAAAATTGATTGTGAAGTTGATGTAGGAAAAATAACATAGTTACTCTAGTTGCAAAAAGTAATTTTTCATCCCATAAATTTTTTAGTGAGAAAGTAGTAGTTAAATGAAACTTTGATTATTGTCTAAAAATCAAAGCAGTTAGATAGCTGCAACAAATGAACCCTTAACCAAATAATGCAATCATGAAATTTAAAAAATTTATTTATTTTATTATTTATTTCAAATGAACAATAAAACCTTAATCAAATTAAAATTCTTATTGCAACAAATAAAATAATACTAAAATAAAAAAAAAATTAGCGTAAGATAAAATTAGATTCCATTTTTATTTTAGCGAAGTTTTCAGACAACTAATTATGTCAATTACCACAAAGCAACTTTTAGACCCCAAAGATCCGCAACGTATAGCTCCTCCCATTGCTCTTCGTGCCACTCAGGCTCGCCATCATTGCTGCACTCACCGCCACCGTAGTCGCCGCCGCCGCCGCCGCCGCTGCTTTCTCCGTCACCATTGCCGCTGCAATCACGGCTGTCATCGCTAGCGCTGACTGTCGTACGGAATGAAAACCACACCGACAACCTACTGGCTTTGGCAAACGGATTCCGAAGGAGTTTCCAAACGTGGTTCCTGATGATGCTCCAAAGATGGCTCCAATGGCGGCTCTGAATATGGCATCCAGCGTTGCTCCTCAGTTCTCCACATTGACGTTGGAGCAACGACGACAAATATTGGTTAACCGTTTCATTGTGATTCAAAGAAAGAACCGATTTCTTCTGTTTATTCTTTTTTTTTTTTTTAGAAGCTTTGGTATCATTGTATAGAATCAGCTAAAATGTGCCATCAAATTGCATAGACATTGCTACATGCGTTGGATCGCCTCATGAGGAAATGAATAAATAAATAAAAAGATTTAATTTTGATAAAAATGACAAATGGATTTATAAGTTAGCAATCCAGCACTGCAGGCACACAAAATTAAGCCGTTCTTGTTAAAGTTCTCAATAAATGGCATGGCCCATCAGCTTGATCAGAGTCAGACTCGAAAAATTTAGATTATGAGTTAATTTAAAGTTCTCAATAAATAGGTCGAGTTTTGGTTGAGTTTTTCGACCCGTTTAATAAAGGGTCGAGTTTGGCATGACCAGCGAATTCATTTTTTATCCGAAAATAACCAATTTAATGTATTTATTCTTCTTTGTATTTTTTTTATTTAACTTTTGGGGAATAATCTTCTTATTTTTTTATCCAATATCTTAAAATTTATAGTTAATAGATTATTATTGTTGCGGGCTAGAATATACGCGGCGATATAGTTGTAATTCTACGTCTTAGCGTTGCACGGATGTACATCTCACACACGCAAAAGATTTTTTACATGGAAAACCCTGGAAAGGGGGAAAACCACGGGGCCTAGCCTAGTTGGAAAAGATTTCATTAGATTTTTTTTTTAATCTGATCACCCTCAAGGACGAGTCAGCCCACTGTACTCAACTCAAATTCTAGTGAAATATTTTTCAATTGGGCTAGGCCCCGTGGTTTTTTCCCTTTTCAGGATTTTCCACGTAAAAAATCTTTTGTTATCTGTGTGTGAGATGGATATTCGTGCAACACTAAGACGTAAAATTAATTATAATTCTATCACCGCGTATATTCTAGCCCGCAACAATTATTATTTTGTAAATCAAAACGGGTTAACGACTCAGATTCATGTTAGATTTTTGACCAATTTATTAAACAGGTTGGTTCAGGCATGGATCAAACACAAACTCGATCTGTCAACCCGTTTTGACATCCCCGCCCAAAACCTCCCTTTCACCATTTTGAAAATAAGCATGGACATTGAATGGAAAAAAGAAGATGTTTAAGGTTCAAAGATTTAATAAGATTAGAATTAGGATTGAACTAGCTAATATAATAAATATTTAAACTATTTTAAAATTTTAATATAACTTAACTAATATAATTATGACACAACAATAATATTTTCATCAATTCAATATGCATCAAAACGCTTTATCATTAAATATTTGAATATATAATATTTTTTGAAACATAATATTTTGATTATTTTCATTATGTTCTCCATTTAATTAGCCATAAAAAAATATCTAGAGCACTATCACTAGATTGGAATAATAATGATAATCAAAATTAAAAAACCTTCAAATTTATTTATATTAATGACTTTGTTTTGATGAGCTGCGTTAAACCAAATATTACAAGCAGCTAAAACTCATAATAAAAAAGCTCCTCTTAGGCCCCAATGATCTGCAACCAATAAAACTTATCAGGATCTTCCCACTGCGCTCCACGGAACTCCGGATCCCAGCTATCGCCACACACGCTGCCTTCAGCAACACTGCTTGCATCATCATAATCATCCCCGCCACCACCGCCGCGGCCGCCGCCGCCGCCGCTGCTTTGGCCACGATTGTTGGTATTCAACCTTGTACGAAACGTAAATTTCATGAACAATCCAATGGTATTCCAGCTAAAATTAACGTTCAATCCATCAATGAATAGCCAAGTGTCTCCTCTAATATTCCACTTAGTATCCACACTGTAACATTGGCTTCCATCTATTACCAACGCCATTGTTGTCTTATCTTGCTTGTCGAAGCTTATCGCAATTGCATGGAAGCCACCATTGGGTGTAATGCGAGCCTTTTTGATGTTGAACGTATCGTCGTGCTTCAGGCAACGCAATATCTTAAAATTTGGCAGACCCAGCAAATGTGAAGGGAGTTTCCAACTGGCCGGATCCGAAGGAGGCTCCGGTGGCTGTACTGGCTGCGGCTCCTCCTCCTCCTCCTCCTTAGTTTCTTTTTCTTGAATAGGCGGCTTCTCGTCATTGCTGGTGCCAGAAGAACCGCACCAGAGATTGGAGAATCTCTTCATTGTGGTTCAAAGAAGAAGAAAAAAACTAAATCTTTATGCTGTAAGAAATACTGAGAGGCCAATTTATAGTATTACAGCATCATTGAGGATGAAGGTTTTTATGGAATTGGTTAAAAACCAGGCCCTGGAGAATTTAAGGCTGGGCCAAAATTACAACATATATCCAGATTAATTGAACTGCAAGCATTTAATATTCTGAAACTTGTGTACGTGATCTTTCATGGCTAATGAGGCAAAGCGCATTGCTGATGGAAAGAAAATTGAGGGAATAGAAGAATTTTTAAGCGATAAGGAGATTTGAATTATGGAAAGCCAGTTGGATTTGATAAACCAAAGATGGAAAAGAAGTGGTGCGAGCATAAGAACATACTATCGGCCTTTTTCTGGAAAACGAACGTTATGAATATATTTACGTTGAAAGCATTCCAAATAACATTTCTGTTAAATACCTTCCAAATTAGCTCATGACCATTTTATCTATTTCTTTAAGCCTTTTTTTTTTTAAATAATCTTAATCACAAATTAATACACATATGGATATATGTATAGGCCATGAACTCAAGATCTTGTGGTTAATTGGAGCCAAACATAGAACCACTAGACTAAGGCTTAATTCGTTTGGGACGGCTTTTTTACTGTTTTTTAAAACAACTTTTCGTACAAAATTTAAATTTTTTGTACTAGAAAGCTGCTTTAAGAAACAATAACAAAGCCATCCCAAACAAAGCCTAAGATAAGTTGGTTGGGAGCTTTGATTATCAACCAAGAGATTTCGGGTTGGAGTCTTGCGTATGTGATGTGTGTCTGAATTTGTCCTAATTGGCCTAAATGTTCTAAAATAATAATAATAATTTTGTATAAGGCATGCATAAAATTATATTTATTACTGATCTAGAGCTAAGTCTGACCTCAAATTTTTATGTTAAAAGGGGCAAAATATTTGGAAGAGTTAAAAGGATAAATAGATTTTAATAAAAAAAATATAACCACCACCATTTGGGTGACCACCATGGCACCCTAGCTATTTTTTATGAATATGATTTTATTAGTAGGCATTAAAGGAAACAATTAAAATTCATATTGTCAATGTATAATTTCCTTGGTTATATTTTCTAGATTAGGAAGGCATTTTAAAATTTGAATGGTGTTAATATCATTTTGAATAGGAGTACGTTTATGTCATCATTGTACACTTTCATTATTACACTATATATTTCTTTGAACAGGCATTAACGCCTTTCTATTCCTTGGGATATATATATATAAATATATATATATATATCTAAATTAATGTTTAATTAATACATTAAATAATTATTTATCAAATAATAAATAGATATATTCTCATGAAATCATCAACATTTATAATTTGTCTATCCATAAGCAAAACTTCAAATATTTTATTCAATTAAAAAATGATTAATGTTGATGGAAAATAATTTTGTGAGATAGGCTTATGAAAATTTTAATAAGATTATGTCTCAAAACTATTGTATTTTTTTAGATAAATATAATATAAATTAAACTAAATTATTATATATTATATTAATATCATAATAAATTTAATAATATTTCGATTAAAATTTAATAAAATTATTATTTTTAAGCTTTTGAGTGGAGGTTCTTCGCCGATAGCCCTACCCGCCTCTTCAGCTGAAAAAGATAGCCCTTTCCGCCGTTTAAAGCCTATCGTCTTCCTCCGCGACGCCGTCGCCGTCGCCGTCGGGTTCATAGGTAGAATCCCTCCCCACTTCTCTCAACACAGAATATGTTTTCTTCCTTGCAATATTGTTTTATTTCACTTCAATCTGCATAGTTTTCGTTCTGTCCATCTCATCCCGTTTGCACCTCTCGGCGTTTTTTTATCGTTCTCATGAGAAATGGAGAAGAAGAGGAGGGTGGAGTAGACGGAGAGGATTTCAGGAAGCAATTACAGGTTTGATAAGTGCATAGATATAGAGGAAAATTGGGCGGGGCATAAGAAAATGAAACGGGGGAGACGGATTTGGGGGTGGGAATGAGTTGGTAAGCTCCAACAACCCTCATCAGTTGGATGATGCACGGGACAAACCCTTCTTTTGAAATAGACATCTCTAAAACCGCCCAAATAAAAAAGTGCATGTTCTAAGCTGCGTAGATTATCCTTATAATATGAAATTCTGAAAATGATTTTTGGTACATTGTGGCTGGAATCCTATCATTTTTCTATTTTCTGATAAAATAAATGTATGTGTTGATATGTGTGATTCCTTAGCTAACGGTATGCATTGCTTTCTATTCTTTTGCAACTTTTTCAGGTTATCGGTGCCAATAAAACTACTAGTGCTGGATACCCTTTTTTTTCATATCTCTTGATATCTTGGAGATGTTCAAAAATATTTTGAGCAATAAACTACTGAAGCAGAGTGTTGTTTATGACTATAAGAAACTTTCTTCTTTATATTGTTGCAGAACTTGCTTACATGATGGAAAGGTAAGATGATACAATGTCTCTTGGTTATTTCACTATCATGTACTTAAATTTTTTATGTTTAATTGGTTCTCTCTTGATGTACGTCTAGCTTGTATTGATCGGGCATGTTTCTTTCAGTTTGTTTGTTTAACAAGTTTTATTTATGATTACTCTTTATAAAGTTTATTATGCCTCATTTTATGTGGTTGATTAAATTTGCTACTCATCATTTTTGGTGGATGATTAAGTTTATGATTGATATGAAGGGAACTTAGGTGAGACTTGAGAGGGGGATTATTAAGGCACTTGAGACTATTGGATTTAGTCACACATTATATAGTTATAGAGAAAATGATTAAAATAGTCCTTTGATTCTTTATAAAAGATCAAAATAGTCCTCAACTATATTAAATGACCATTTTGGTATTTCAGATCTTTAAAGAGGAACCAAAATAGTCCCACAATGGGATCATTTTGGTCTTTCATAAAGAGTTAATAGACCATTTTAGTCATTTTCTATATAGTTATAAAAATATGTTAGTTTATTGTATCACACCCCACACTGCCCCCTTTCAAACAATGCAGGATACAAATGAGAAAAATCATATATTATATTTACAAAGCAACTTAACACCAAAAAAATATTTTTATAACAATAGTTTACAATTTTACATACCTTTGCTCAAGACTCGTCTCATAATAAAAAAGTAAAATAAAATATAGATTTTAAATTAACCTATGTCTAGTCAACTTCTATATATTTATCTTTACCATTTCTTGTAACAACAGCCAAAATAAAAATTTGATGAGCTATGAGGCTCAGAAAGATATTCAATTATAATACAATATTCAAGTATATAAAACATAATATTTACCTATCTATCAACAAGTGGAAGTAAGAACTGCATGTACTCATTTAAAAGAAAAATATGCATAGTATAGAATCATTTAATAGATAAAAATAATATTGCATATAAGAATTATATTAATCTGAACCAACCATTTGAGTATCTCATAATGTTAATGCACTCTATATGATGTACATTTGTGCTCCACCAGGCCACCACTTGAGGCCCTGTGCTCCACTAAGCCACCACTTGAGGCATGCTCCACCAAGACACCACCTAAGGCCCAAACTTCTGTCAGACCATCGCTTAACGTCGTTGCTCTACCGGACCACCATCTGAGGCCAGAACTTCCATCGGACCACCACTGGAAGCCCTCACCTCCGTCGGACCACCACCTGATGTTGTGGCTCCGCCGGACTACCACCTGAGGCCCGAACTTCCACCGAACCACAGCTTGAGGCCCTGTGCTTCACCAGGCCACCACCTAAGGCTCGGACTTCCGCCGAACCACCACTTGAGGCCCTGTGCTCCACCAGGACACCACCTGAGGACCGAACTTCTGCTGGGCCACCACCTGACGCCCAGAGTTCTACCAGAGTATCTCCTTACTATAACAGTCTTTCTGACCCCGGTCTCCTGCTGACTACGGTCCTTCTAACCTCTGTCGCCTTCTATGGTCATTTTGACCTCCATCAACAGACAACAATCTGTCTGACCCCGATCTCCTGCCGACTACGGTCCTTCTAACCTCCGTCACCTAATATGGTCCTTCCAACCTCCATCAACAGATAACAATTTTTCTGACCCCGGTCACCTGTCGACTACGGTCCTTCCGACCTTCGCCGCCTACTATGGTCCTTCCGACCTCCATCAATAGACAACAGTCTTTCTGACCCCGGTCTCTTGCCGACTACGATCCTTCTGACCTCCGTCGTCTACTATGGTCCTTCCGACCTCCATCACCAGACAACGATCTTTCCGACCTCTATCCTATCGACTATGGTCGTGCCGACCAAAGAAACGCATCTATTGTAACTCCACCATGTAATGCACTCTATATGATGTACATTTGTGACATCAAGCCAAGGCCTTCTCCTAAGGAAGGGCCGCTCATATGCTTCAATCATAAACTATAGGCTCTTGAGATCGTACTTCCTATATCGCCTGTAGGCTTCATATCATAACTTATAGGCTTCTAAAGTCACACTGCCTCTATCATCATAGGCTTCATTTCTAGCCCGTAAGCTTCATATCATACCAAGGCCACACTGCCTCTATTGGGTCGCACTGCCATTAGGGTCACATTGCTCCATTCACCTGCCACGTAATATGACAAATTCTCAGGTTTTTCTAATCATTATGTTTTTCCTTCCAAGTTGTGTGATGCTTGTCTATATATAGAAACATGTATATGCAGACAATTTAATATAGCGGTCAAGCGCATTCGCAAATAGGCAGGTATGATTGTATGAATCTTATGTTATGACTCATCGTATAATAGATTATAGAATTATACATAAAAGCATCATATAACAAAATAACTTATTTATATGTAAAATGGTTGCATGTCTACTCACTAAAATGTATATCTTACCTTATCAACATACATACTCACCAATTCAGACACCTCGTCCCCGCCTGCATCTGTAAGGTACCTTCATCAACTTGAATTATTAATTGAAATTCCTCACTTCTATTATTAGACTCATACAGTTAATTTGATTCCCAAACAACATACCTTCCAAATTTTTACATTGCATACATGTCTATCGATACCCTTTCACATTGCACTTCGACGTCCTAGTCATCCACTAAGCAATGTTAACTAGAATCATTACATACACAAATCCTACAAATTACCTAGAGGCATTAATTTCTTACCTTCAAGCACCAACTAACTTCCTTACCTCTTTTCGCTTTCTCTTCTCTTCCTTCCCTGATTTCCTCTTCCTACTTCCTTAATTTCTTCTCCCTACTTTCCTGGCTTCCAAAATCCACCCTTAACAAATAGCTTATTCATTCCCCATTTTAATCGACCAACCCAATACCTACACTAAACCGAGCCCACCATCCGAGTACCTTAACTCATTCGACCAACTCCATGACCAGCTGCAGCTTTTTCTTTGGCCTCGAACAGCTGCAGCTTTCGATTTGGTCTCCCCTAATCCGCTGCAACATAAAATCGAAGTCTTCCATCCTTAGCATGGCTTAGTTTAGGCAAAATCAGAATTAAAGGACTTTTATCGAATTGCTCTTCCACCAAAACATTGCATGTAAGCCATCTGTCCCACTATCTACCCTTAGCTACTGTAAAAAATCATATTTGAACAATAAAATCATTTTATAACTCAAGTAAAAATACAAAAGAGATTTAATTTCCAATCTTCAAATCCTTTGCAAATTGACCTATAGTTCTATATATTGAATTGCTCCAATCAATGAGTACTACACAATGACATTCTTATTGATGACTTTTGGGAAAGTTGAGATTTTGGGGTATAATTTAAGTAAAAAAAAAATTGTATTTTTATATGAAAATTTTGGTTATTATATATTGATTGGCTCTCTTTCCTTGTCTTAATCTTTTGAGTTGAAAAGGTGTATGGCCACTCATATATTGATCCCAACTTTGGTCTCCTATGGGTTCACCTTTGGCAACTGTAAATAGGTGAGTCGATGATTTAACTGGGATCAAGTGGTTCATGCATATTTTTGGCTCCCATGGTTCAACTACTTCATATTTGGGCGATGAACCCATTTTTAACCCAAAACGTTACACCTGTGGATAAAGTCAACCACTTCATATTTCAACACCAATATCTTTTTTCAGCTATCCGATTTTGTTAAACCCAATAAGTTGTCTTAACAATCTCCCTCTTATAACATCATCAACCATCGTGTATCAAGAGCTAACTCAACCCTGGAGAGCTACTATAGAGTCACCATTCTTGACCCTCACTTGACCATAGTGGAATCCCTCAATGGCTCATAGGACACAAACTACATGACTCGTCAATTGTCAAATCAACAACTTTGATATTACTTAGAACAACCTGAAATCTACCCATCAAGATGTTACATGCTTTGACCACACAAGCCTAATGATTTTATTAAAAAATGCCCCAACAAGGGCACACTTAACATTGGAGTTCGTAACAAAACTCTAACAATAACATCAAAATATGCCTTAATATATGTGTTTTTTTCTAATATACTTAACTAATCTCTCAATATTTTCTATAAAATCAAGTGAGTTGTCAATATTATACAGTTTTATACTTCGTCAAAAAGAATCGTGTTTTAATCTATATATAATTTCAACTTATAAGCCAAATGATTATTTTTTTATCGCAAAGACTTCAAGTTGAGTCATGTACACTATCACTTCAAGATCACCATTGAAAATAATGTACATAAATTTAATATAATAAGTTATATAAGTCATGATAACCTTTAATTAATTATTTTTTTAATCTACAAAGAAAATTTAATTATAATTTATATTTTCCTCTTGAGTGAAACTATATTCTCTTCGTAGATCTAAATAGACTTGGTTAGAAAATATTAGAAATGTTAGAATTGGGCACCCATGAGTCTTTGGTGATTCTCATTAATTTTTAATTCTTAACTTTTTAATCAAAGAGGCTGAACTGCTAGCCATTCAGAAATGCTAGTTAATAAAAACAATTATTTTGGTTTCTTAAGAAACCGAAATATGAAAATCTGGTTTCTTAAGAAACCGGAATTTCTTAATTTGGTTTCTTAAGAAACCGGTTTTTCATATTCCGTTTTCTTTTCAAATCACAAATTAAAATAGTTTTGTTTATCGTGACATCTTGAATGTTAGAATACATTAAAATAGTTGCCCATGAGTCTTTGGTGATTCTCATTAATTTATAATTCTTAATTTTTAATCAAAGAGGCTGAACTACTAGCCATTCAGAAATGCTAGTTAATAAAAACAATTATTTTGGTTTCTTAAGAAACCGGAATTTCTTAATTTGGTTTCTTAAGAAACCGGTTTTTCATATTTCGTTTTCTTTTCAAATCACAAAATAAAATAAGAAAAAATTTATAAAAACCAGAGAAGTGAATAAAAAATTTTAGAATTTACAGAAACCGGATAAGTAAAATCCGATTTCCGGTCAAAGTAGAATTGACTCTTAATAGGACACAATGGAGAAGAAGGATTCATGCAGTTGACCCCGCATAATGGGATAAAGGCTTGATGTTGATATTGTTGTTGTTGAGTGAAACTATAGCAATAAGTTTAGCTTTATATCATTTAATATTACCCTATTTGCCTTCTTTTGGGCCTCATAGGCTCATTTACAGCCAATGGCTTTAGATCCTCTTGGTGGTTTAACAATGTCTTAAAGTTAATTCTAATTATTTGTAGATGCAATTTCATCAAACATGGCATCATGCCAAAGTATAGATTTATCCCATACATGAGTTGCAAAAACTGACTTAGGACCATTATTTGCTCAAACATCAAAATCAGACTATTGAAGATAGACAATGTAATATGAAGTCATTGTTTATTCTCTATATCTTGGTGATCTTCTCAATTCTACTACTTCTGTATTTGTACTTTTTTATTGTAGGTTCGATGTGAACTTACTTTTTTATGTTGGTGATTCTTGATTTGATTGTTCATCAAAGTGATTCTAGTCAATCTCCTGAAAATACAACCAATTAAACATTTTTATTCAGCTTATTATCTTGTTCCCTAATATACTCAAATTTCATTTCGTAAGAGAAACTAGTACTCCTACTGAGCTCATAATCCTCAATAAACTAGCATTCCTCGCTTCAATAATTTTTGTTGTGCTACGAGTACAATTAAATCCTATCATTTATAATTTAATGCATTTCCAAGAAAGCAACTACCAACTATTTTGGAATGCAATTTCTTTATTTATGGGTTATTAACCCACACCTCAACAAAATAATCACATATGTATAAATGATTTAATCTAGGCTTTCAGTGTTCCCCAACTTAATGAGTATTAGGGATAGTTTAGTATGAAATCCTGTTAAAAGCATTCCGAAGAGATGAAATAAGATTAAGAGTTACTAATCACATTCCTTGCCTTATTCATTAGTATGTGATTTCTTCTTTTAGCACCATTTTCTTAGTGTTCCCGACATTGTATATTGAGAAAATATACTTATTCTTGAAGAAATACTCTCCATATATCTCCTCACTTATATCATATCTAGTGTTTCTTAGTATCCCCGACATTGTATATTGAGAAAATATACTTATTCTTGAAGAAATACTCTCCATATATCTCCTCACTTATATTATATATTCATATCTAGTGATCTTTATTTTCTCGTCCTTTTATTTTTCCACCTCGTCTTTATAAACTTTAAATGCATCTAGTGCTTCATCCTTTTAAATATAAGATATAGATGCATATGTAGAAAAGGTCCACAAACATTAGTGTATGATTTCCAAAACGTCAAAAGTCTTTTTGGTCGCTTTGGCAGTATCGTTAGTTTGCTTATCCTTTATGTATCATCTAAAAGGTATCAAAATCGGTAAAAATCAAGATATTTCAAAATCCCATTATTAATCAGTCTCTTTATTCTCACTAAAGAGATGTGTCTTAATCTTATATTCCATGAACTTGAAAAGATCTCCTTATTGATATTCCTCTTAATATGAATTTTATCACCATGATGTATAGAAGAAAGGTTGCATTCATATAAGAAACTAAGGTTTTATTTGCGACGGATTTCTTATTGCTTCTTAAAGCAGCTTTTTAATACAAAAATTAATTTTTTTGCATTAAAAGCTGCTTTAAGAAGCAGTAAGAAAGCCCTCCCAAACGAAGCCTAAATCTAATTGA